TACAGTAGGTAATTCTGTAAAAGTTATTATTTTTTTTAATTGTAGAGATTATGATGTGCATTAGCCATCATAAATAATAGAAGTTTAGAAATAAGTATAAAACAATTGTGTGTTTCTTTTTTGCCCAAAGCTGTAGTAACATAATTGTTGCGTGTACAGCATTCACAAGGCAGAGATACAAGATGTATATAGTTGTGACTCACCAAGAATGAAGGCGTAAAATCACCATTATTAATTCTATTTCATGACTGATTTGAGAGAAATTTACAATCAGTGTGACAGTTTCAGGAAAACAAATTGAGTTAACTTACCTTACTAATACATTTGAGAGCATCATCACCCAGCCACTTGGGATAGTATGGTGCATCATGCAAAATTGAGTCAAACAACTGGTCCTCATCATCACCATGGAATGGAGACTGCCCAATCAACATCTCATATAACAGAACCCCGAATGACCACCAATCCACCGACGAGCCATATTTTTGACCACGAAGAATCTAATAGTTAATATAAAGCTTCAGTCAAACAATTTCATCAATGGAAATAGAGCACATTATATAATAACTATTTATAAAGCTTCAGTCAAACAATTTCACCAATGGAAATAGAGCACATTATATAATAACTATTTATAAAGCTTCAGTCAAACAATTTCACTAATGAAAATAGAGCACATTATATAACAACTATTTATTTTGGAGCTGAAGTTTGGTATGCTTGGATGCTTTCCATATCCAAATTTCAAAGGCCTCATTACAAAATGCAATTCCTGTGCCAGACCATCTAAAGCTAAACTGAAAATATAATTATGAATAAAGAAAAGCATGCAGCATGGCCATTAATTTTTCAACGGTATAGGCATTCAGTTATGCATAATCAACCTTCATTCATCTTTAAGGAGGGTTTTATTTTTAAGCATGTACATTTGTATGGAAACACAAGACTTTGGGATTGCAACGCATGTATCTTAACAACCAAGCAAAGTTTCTTTACAGAAATTAACTACATAAGAAAAATGTTTCAAAACAACTATCCACTAGGCATACAACAATTTTCCGCTAGCCATACCTCCGGTGCAATGTAATCAGGAGTACCACAGAATGTAGTTGCCTTGCTGTCTCCTGCTATGTTCTGCTTACACATGCCAAAGTCAGCAATCTTAATGTGTCCATCCTTGTCAAGCAGAACGTTGTCCAACTTTAAATCACGGTATATGATGCCGCGTTG